TCCGAATATGTTCAAACATAAACCCAGCAAATACCTCGCTTCTAAGCAACGCTGGTCCTAAACGCTACAAAGCACCTGTGGGTTGACCGCGGTCAAAATACCGCAGCTCGCCCATTTTCAGCTTGTTTCCCGAAACACTTCGGAAACACTGTTTTATCAAAAAAATACTAAACACATTCAAACTTGAAACCAAGGCAAACACTTCGCCACTTGGGAACATTATGCTTCGTCTATATACGTTCGAACTCAAAATCTAAACCCTATAATTACCTCGTGGTTAGGCATTATCGGTCAAACATTGGAGCCATCGCTTCGCCGCGATCCAGGGCAGAGCAACTCAACTCAAATGCGTTAGGCATAAAAGGATCGCAATAATCTAATCTAAACCCGATAATCACTTCGCCTCCGAACGGCACTGGTCCTAACTACTATGCCTCTTTCGGCTGTGGCTCGCCTTATTGAAAAAGAAGATTCGGACAAACTCTTAAACTGTTTTGAGTATAAAAAAAAACCAGACATGTTCGAGTGAGTAGCTTAAACACTTCGCTTCGACATAATCCAGAGCAGAACGATCACGTCTCAGCTCGATAACAAAGTACGATATCATATAAAATCCATAGCATAAAGTCTAAGCGGATAAAGCCATCCAGGCACCAAGTTCAAAATAAAAAAGCACATCCGATGCATGGATGCACAACAACAAAAAGTTAAATAAAAACCAAATCAAAGCATAGACATTCGAAGGCATTTTCTAAACTACAGCCTCGGAAGTCTCGGCAATCTCGGATACCATCGACACGTCCTGCTGAGAACCCTTCTCGGCGACCAACTCGTCGACCCCTAGGAGTATCAACGTTCGACCCTGCGAGATCTTCCACGCCAGCCTTCGAAGCCATGATTTCTGTCGATTCGTTAGCAAAGAAGGGTGGGACAGAATCGCTGGAAACCGGAGAAAGCTTCAGATCCTCTCGCAGGTCAGTCGCAAGACGCTCGAACTCTGTGTCAGCATCAGCAAGCTCCTCTTTCCATCCGGTCAGAGTCGCCAACTCTGCATCCTGAGAAGGAGGGTCCTCGCCCATAAGAAGCTCGACGATCTGGAGATTCCCCTCGGCCTGCGCAAGCTCAACAACCCTCGTACGGGCAGGCCCCTTCAGCTTCTCGATCTTCTCCTCCGCTTGGCGAATGCGATTCTGGAACTTCTGCCCTAGATCTCTCCTCGCCTCCTTACGCACTTTCTTGGCCTCAACCTCGCGCAGCTCTCTCTCGGTCTCGAGTTGTCGCTTGAGAGAAGCGATGTCCGACTCGCGTCTTAGCTTCTGCTCGTTAAGACGAACAGCAAGGGCCTCGGCTTCGTTGCGCTTTTTTCCTGAATTCGTCCCTATCGTCCTCAAGCTTCTTCATCCGAGTTGCAGCCTTCTCCAGCTCGGCGGAATGTTTTAGCTCGGCATCGTCGAGACTAGCCTTGAGAGCAACGGCATCGCCACGAGCCTCCTGGATACGATGCAAATCCTCCCGAGCATCCCGTTCATAGCCCGCGACCACCTCGTTTGCTGCCTCGATAAACTGAGATATGATCGCAAGCTCTTTGATTATATATATATATATATATACACACGTATCACAAGAATAGAGGAAACAAAAGAAAATTACCTTGACTCCTTTGAGTGCCATCTTAGCGTACTTCTTGCTCAAGGCAAGAGTATCCGGTGCCGGAAGACGATCTCCTGGACGAGTGATCTTGGAGAAGAGCGTCACGGACGCCGCGGCCTCATCGGCTGGCGCATCCAAAGCGGCTGTGGCAAGATTCGCGTCAGGAACAGACGCAGGAACGAGAGGATCCTTCTTTGCCTTCTTCTTCGAAACAGCTGCGTCGCCCGCCTTATCTTACCTTAGCGCAACGCGTTTTGAACCCCTTTTGTCTGCTTCGCCTCCGTCGGCTCGATGAGTCACCTTTGATTTCTCCATATTATGAGACAAAGAGGATCCCTCAGGTCGCAGAGAAGACTTCAAACCCGCGACGATCTCAAAAGAAACTCTAGCTGCCGCTGGCCTCGCCCCACCTGAGGATTTCGAACCAATGTTCGCCTCGCCCAGAATATGGAGCTCGCGTTTGCCTCGCCCGAAACTCTAGGGCTCGCCTCCTTCGACCTAACTGGTTCTTTCTCCTTCTCTCCCGCTCGCTTCTTGGCTTCCATCGCCTTTTTGTCGCGAAGAGTTATTTTGGCCGCCAATTTGTAAATCGGGTCGACGTCGGATGAATGAGAGGACTCGGAGTAATCTATATCAATTCCGAGGTTGAAAGCTCGAGCACGCTCAACCCTTTGCAACATGAAGCCCCTCGTCCAATGAGTCCTTCTCTGGCAAAACAGCTTCACCGAGTCTAGAAAACCTTCGGGAATCCTTAGCACGATATGACGCTCTGCAACCAAAAAATAATGAAATAAACATTAGTAACAAGTTTCACATCGACTCGGGTATAAAATCCCTAAGTATGGCAACGGTCTGCTACCGATTCACCCCCAGTCCGTCTTAACCTTCTCGAGCCACGCCGCGGGGACGGAGGCATCATTTATCAACACAAAGAAGAAACGACTCTTCCAATCTTTGTCGTTACTGGGAAATCCATGGATGATCCGCCAGTCTCTCTTGTCACCAATGCAGTACGTCTCAGATTTTGGATTTCTACGAACATCCAACAGGTTTAAACGATGACCGACAGAGAGCTCGACCTCGCACTCATAGCCGAGAATGACGAGACCAACCAAATGGCGAAGACCACGGGGTGTAATCTGGGCAAGGGCAAGCTTGTACTTCCATAAATACTGACAAATAACTTCTGGGATGGGAAACCAAAAAAGGCAGAGGTAGAAAAAACTCTCGTAAACTGTAAAGTACCCGGAAGGCGGATGTTCTGCTCGCTCCGCTGCAATAGGTAACAGGAATTCTACTTCCTCGCTAATATTGAAACGAGCCCTTAGATCCATTAAACTCTCAACAGTCGAGAGTGTAGACCCAGGTGGATCAGCCGTTTTTCTCTTCGCCCTCTTGCCCTTCGGCTGATTTTGTTTCTGTAGCTTCAACAACTCTGCAAGCTCCCTCTTCGCCACAAATGGATCCCAATTCCAATCTTCATCCTCTGGTTTAATCTCTGTCGCCTCAACCGCTCGAGGAAGACACCCGACCAAGGAACTTGGATCTCTTTCCTCGCCAACCGCGATATTCTCGGGAAAACCAAATATTTCGGGCTCAGGACAGTGGCTTGCATCTGACAAACTGTCCGCCCCATCGCACGAATCTCGAAGCAAAGCATTCTCACCTCGCCTAGGCGAGGAGAAGAGAAGCAATTTGGCCTCGCCCCGGCGAGGTGAAGCAAGGCATTTTCACCTCGCCCAGGCGAGGAGAAACAAAGCCTTTTGGCCTCGTCACGGCGAGGCGAAGTAAGGCATTTTCACCTCGCCCAGGCGAGGAGAAACGAAGCAATTTGGCCTCACCCCGGCGAGATGAAGCAAGGCATTTTCACCTCGTCCAGGCTAGGAGAAGAGAAACAATTTGGCATCGCCCCGACGAGGAGAAGCAAGGCATTTTCACCTCGCACAGACGAGGAGAAACAAAGCATTTTGGCCTCGTCCCGGCGAGGCGAAGCAAGACATTTTCATCTCGCCCCGGCGAAGGGAAGTAAAGCATTTTCGCCTCGTCCTGCCAGAACAAAGCATCTCATCCTGGCGAAGCAAAAACTCTTGACCATTGATCTCGCCTCTCTTAACACCTCGTCACCCTCATCTTGAGTCTAACGAGCTGGGGGGCTAACTGTTGGGGTCGGTTTTCACCCTAGATCAACGAGAAAATGGCGAAGTATAGAAGTGATTCTTGGCGATGCCAGACTTTACCCGGGCGAAGCCAATCACCTCGCCCAAACCGTGCACGGGCGAGGTGAACCGTGCAAAACCCGGGTGAAGCCAATCACCTCGCCCAAACCGTGCACGAGCGAGGTGAACCGTACAAAACCCGGGCGAGATGAACCGTGCAAAATCCGGGCGAAGCCAATCACCTCGCCCAAACCATGCACGGGCGAGGTGAACCGTGCAAAACCTGGGCGAAACCAATCACCTCGCCCAAACCGTGTACGGGCGAGGTGAACCGTGCAAAACCCAGGTGAAGCCAATCACCTCGCCCAAACCGTGCACGGGCGAGGTGAACCGTGCAAAACCTGGGCGAAGCCAATCACCTCGCCCAAACCGTGCACGGGCGAGGTGAACCGTGCAAAACCCGGGCGAAGCCAATCACCTCGCCCTAACCGTGCACGGGTGAGGTGAACCGTGCAAAACCCGGGCGAAGCAAATCACCTCGCCCAAACCGTGCACGGGCGAGGAAACTTCTAATCAAGCCCGAAGGCGAAGGCCCACGAAGCAATAAGGCGAAGCCCCAAGTCAGACTCAAGGCGAAGCGATGTGCAAGTGGGCCAAGCCCTAGAAGACGAAGTCTTGAGGAAGAGGGCGCCGCGAAGGGGAAAAAGAAGGATTATCTGCACAAATATACTCCGAGATCTCCGTCTAGATTAGAACTATGAGTTGTATAATTAGAGAGTTGAACTCATTAGCGCGGATCATCTTGGGACCTAGCAAAAGACTTAGCAATACTTGTACCAAAGGCTTATCTGAGCAGCACTAATAAAATCACCATCTTTGGATCTTTGTTCTCTCGTGTTTTAACTTAGAATCTTTACGTCTTCTTTTATTTTTAACAGACAAATTCTATTGTGTGAAATCCAGCCCACACAAAATCCTCACCGTAAAGATCATAGAAGAAGAGCCTGGAAGAGGAAGATCGCTTGCTCATTATCCGAATTCATCATACGTAAGCCCCTCTATCCGAATATTGATGCTTAAAATCTATTTTCCCCTAAAGATATGAAATATAATGAGAGACTGAAAACACAGTAAGTTTTTTTTTTGTTACATTATGGATTTCTTATTCGAAACCTCACAGGTAAAATCGATTACCAGGAAGCCGAAGGAGAAGAGGCCGATGACGGAGAGAGAGATGGAGACAGCGGAGAGCTCGACCTCGCCGATATGGCCGACGAAGATATTGGTGGTGGATGTAATGCCATGCTCGCAGATGATGTTTAACCCGCTTGAAATCGCTCCATGTTCTCGTCAGAGCATAATCCTCCTCATTTCTCAACCTCGCCATTGAAAAATGGCGTTCTAATTGGATATCTCCTTCAACACAGAAAATCATTATAGAAATTTATATTCGATGGTTTATTGGAATTGGTGTAGACGGAATATTGACCTGGTTCGATATCGAAGAGTCGAGAGAGAAGACGAATGATTTAGAAAAGTTTAAAATTTTTTAAAATTAAAAAACAGAAATCTAAGGCCATCAGCACGAAAAAAAATTAAAAACAGAAAAAAAAATGCTGAGATGTCATGGAATGTTTGCATTTGGTCTGAAATTGCAAAAGCCAATTTCCTAATTAACTTTAAGAAGTCGTACTTGATATCCCTTGTATTTACATCATTTAGGGCTGCATTTAGTACATCTTTTGGTCCTCTTTTGCATGTTTTCCCTTTGCTTTTGTCTCATTTTCTTCTCCTTTTAGACTTAGGTTGCATTTAGAGTATAGTTTGCATTTTCTTTGCATTCTGGATGTTTTTAGGTGCTTTTGGAGCTAAAAGGAGCTTGGAGGAGTTTTGGGAATGATACAAGATGCTAGCTGGACAAAAGGGAGCAAGAAGGATCAGCAGAAGATCTCTGCAAAAGGTTTCGGTCAGAGCACAGAGAGTATCGGTCAAGGATGACCGATACGGAGTATATCGATCACCATTTTCAGTCAAGTGTGATCGACATAAACACACCGGACGGATTTCGGTCATATGTGTCGATCACTCCAGACCGATAGGGATCTATTTCGGTCACTGAAGACCGATACAACTAACCAATACTGACCCAGCCCGAACCTGTTTTTAATTACGCTTTAGCCATTACTCTAGGGCTTTCTTCTCTAGGCTATAAATAGCCTCTTTTCCAGATTTTCGACAACTCTTTTCAAAATACTGTTCTTGAGCATTTTTTTTAAGTTTGTAAGACAATGTCTTTGCTTTGTTTAATATAATCAAGTATTTACTTTAATCTTTCTTTAATCTTTCTATTAATCATGATTAGCATCCTTTCCCTTTGTGATTTGGTGTTAAACATGATTATGAGTGAGTAGTTATCTTAGGGTTTCTAGATGTGGTAGATTAGGGGAATTTAAGGCTTGATTAAGGCTTGTTAAGTGCTTCAGTTAATGGGTTCCTCTCTATTAATCTGTTATTCATGCTAGATTAGTCCTGATCAAACTTGTCTAAGTTGTTAGCTTTCTCTTATGCCCACCAAGTGTTTGATGAAATCCTGATCATGTTTAATAGAGGATTTGCTGGCCTTGGCTCAAGAGATTGACTGTTTGAGGAGCATTTTGACTTGAATAGAGTTGTTTAATCCTGCTTGCTTGATGTTTTAGCACTAATGAGAGTTAGTTCTTGTTAGAATGTTTAGCAAAGGGTTATTTGCCAAGAGATTGGATCTAACTAGATTAATTGTGAACTCTATGTCTAGGAATCATCATTGCTTGCTTACTTGCTTGATCAATGTAGTTTGAAACAGCCTTAGTTAATGACTGAAATTCCCCAAAGTCAATAACCACAACTAGGAACTTGCCTTTCTCTTATTTGAATCTCGGATTTGCTCTGTTTTGCTCTGTTTTACTCTGTTTTTCTTGCTTAAAACTGTTTAGTTTGCTGCTTGTTTCATTTAGGTTGCTAGAAGTGTTGCTTAGGCAACAAAACCAATTCTTTGCTTGTTTGACTTAGAGATTTTACTCTCAACTCTTCTGCTTTCAACTCTTCCCAACTGGATTGACATAAAACCCATACTACAACTGACTAGTACAAAGGTGATTGGGACAAGAACTCACAAATATCCTGTGTGAGTACTGTGTAAAATCGAAAGACGCAGAAGCAAAAACGGAGAAAACTTGATGAAAATTTACGGATTGAAGAATCAGGCGATCTAACATACCGTTTTGATATTATTTCGAGAATAAGGGAAATCCGGGAGACCATCTCTACTGTTAGACAAAACCAGCTTCAAATCGCTTCATGTTCTAGCCGGAGCATAATCCTCTTCAACCTCGCCATCGAGAAACGGCGTCCTAATTGGATCCATCTCCTTCGGAATCTCAACACAGAAAACCATAATAGAAATTTATATTTGATGATTTATTGGAATTGATGCAGATGGAATATTGACCGATTTCTACATCGAAGAGTCGAGGAAAGGAGACGAAGAATTAGAAAAAGTTCAAAATTTGTTTAAAAAAAATCTAAAATCTAAGGCTGACGTGTCAGGGAAGGGTGTGCTGAGGTGTCACACTCTTGTGAGGCACAACCCAACTTTTATATAATAGATTTATCTCGGCCAACATAACATAAGTTTATATGTTTTTTGGATCAGTGAAAAGTCTATACTTTTTTTGAGATGTTTACACATCTGAGCAATTTTCACAATTTATTATACAAGAACAAAACTTATAGCAATAAAGGTACTTTCAAGATTTAGAATGACAATTTTATCTCTCTTTCATTTATTTTAAGACTCTAGTGTAAAAAAAAAAATTCATAGTAAAAATAAAAAAATACTTTAAAACACCTTTTTATAATAAACACTTGGGAGAAAACAAAACATCAAGCTAGATCTCGTTTCAGCTCTCGCCAGAAACCTTACAATTGCAAAAACAGTTAATCGGCAGCTATGTCTAAGGATTCAAGGTAGTTTGACCAATTTTTAATTCTTCATCCTCAAGTTTGTTTTTATCTAGTTTGCATCATTTTTTGTAAAAAAAAATGATTTCTTTGATGAACTCTAAGAAATCGCTCAACCAAGAGTGAAAAATGAGAACGACGAGACCTTTGGCAAGAAAGAACTTGAGACTGTTTTATTTAGAATAAGTGAGGCTATTGAAGATGCACTTTGAAGGTTTTCTCTGAAAAATCATCATCTACGGTGGTAGAAGGAAACCAAGACAAATCAACGGCAGAGGATATCGCTGAGTCTTGAAAATCCAGTTGGAGAAGATGATGTACTGGGTGAAGCAAGATCTACACATGTAACTGAGGATGTGCAGTGGAGTGAGCATATGAATGTGTGCAAATAGTATGTATGGATGAGTGAATGTGGATGCAACGACAATGATCTTTGTGCGTCGTAGATGCCACTCAAATATTTTCATGGATATGTATGCGAATAGATTATATATGGATGACCAAACTGTAGGTGTTGGACAACTAAGAATGGACGACATATATCTATATGAGTGAACGTGGATGAACAAACTTTAGATGATGGATAACTAAGAATGGACGACTATGGATGGACGACCATAAAAGGATGAGTGAGCTATGCTATTCTAATGAAAGAGCGATCATTGATAATAAGTGGAAAGCACTATGCGCCAAAAACATTGTTTAGAAGCTAATCCAACAAAGTCAAACCATTTGAGATAACAAGAGGCTATAATTGATAATATAAAAACTCATGGATAGATTCTTGTGGACACTATTTTGACCAGCGAACACTCTCTATTTTTATCCACACGCTACCGTACATGTGTACATTGTCCATCCCCTCATATATATTATGTCTGAGTGAATATTGGTCAACAGGTTCATGCTCCTTGCTTCTGCTATGAGAAAGAAAAGGAAGATTAAAATTAACATGAAACACTTTTTTCTCTGAGAATGGTAAAAGCTGTGCCAACAAAGAAACAAAAAAAAATTCTAGACTTATATAGAAAAGTAATGACTAGAAATTGTCACAATAAGAAAGAACCAGAAAATTTCCAAAATCAAATATGGACTTAAGTTTAATGTACATCAGCTCATGTCTAGTGTCTCTTGTCCATCATCCTCAAAATCTTGTCCATTGTCATTTGTCCTTCGTCTTATGTCCATCTTCTCTTGTACATCGTCTCATGTATAATGTTTCTTGTCCATCATATGCTTTCTTCTAAATCGAGTCCATCGTCCCTTCTTCAAAATCGTGTCCATCGTCCCCACTTTAAAATCATGTCCATCATGTTTGGTCCACCAACCTGTTTATTAGATCGCATGTACATTATTGGTGAATCATATGAGGCTGTGCTCTTAGTAAACCTGAATTCTTCTAAGTCTCTTGGAACTGGCCCTCGCCCCTCCCCCGTTACAAATAATCAAAGCAGATATAATTTTACCATATTTTGCAGAATTTCGAGGTTTCTTAAACTAAAGACTTAACTATTATACACAAAGGAACAATTACTGAGATTGAGATGTTAAAGTTATTGAATTTAGAAAATTGATTAAGAGTCATAAGGTATATTATCTATACAAAGTTGTTCCTTGAGATTACATGAAACTCTAAGCTATTAATTCAATCTCTCTTTCTAATTCCAGGTAGAGGTTAAAGTCCTAAGGAAAATCAAACAAACACCTAATCACAAATACACATTTTTCATATCGAATAGAATAAGAACATGACAGTGAAAAACTTCAAATTTTAAATACCAAAATTGCATTTAATCAGATAAAACTCAGGAAATTTGTTATAGATCCAATCATATCTTCAGTCATTACTTAAAACTGGACCAATTAAATGAAAAATAAATTAAAGTAAATTCACTTGCTCACATCGTAAGTGAACAAAGATGGGAAATAACGAACCAGAAAAATCATCTGATTGAGATAAAAATCGACTGATAGACTTGATTCCATCGTAGCCATGATTCAACGAATCAAGTGAAGAAGCTCGAAAATGACAAAAAAAGACAATTCCTTTTCAACATATATCAGATCGCTCGATTAACATTATCGAGTGGATGGTTCTCCAAAATCAATTTTCTACGCCTACGAAAAAAACGAGAGCTCACAAAATAATATTTTCAGACGGCGGCCATTAATTTAGATAAACAATGTTTCTTTCTATTATTTTGGTAAAAGTAAAAAAATTAATACATCTTTTTTATTTTATTAAGGGTATAATAGGTATGAAATGATATATATAATTTTCTAAAAATAATTACATTTACAAGCACTTTTTCATCTTTGCTTACACATTTGCACACTTCGAGCTGGTGACACACTTTTAGTCTACAAAATTACCAATATACCCTACTTTATACTACACCCTTTTGATAACAGAAACACATTTTTACGCTTCTGTAAAAAAATCTGGTTTCACACTTCCGATATTCTGAGACAACAACAAGACCCTATTTTATAGCCTCCACCATCTTAGTTCGTCGGAATTATTTCCAGATTTGGTAACTCCAAGCAATGAATCCACCTTCGTCGGCACTCTCATCATTTGTTAACTTGAGATTTTTAGTTTTCCCAATTCAGCTCAACTGAAGAAGCAACCTGTTACCACGAAAAACAACCGCCATTTAATTCAATTTCTCTATTTTTCGATAGGGAAGGTATTCGTCATCAATTTCTCTCTTTCTGGGTTTTCTTCATCTATTTCTGTTTTGTACACACAAAATCTCCAGATTTCTATCCCATTGTACACCTTATGGGTTCCGATACAGTTTATTAAAGTGTTGTTGTTTCTGGTGGAGAAGATGATGATAGACAATCCACTATAATGGAGTGTACATATGGACGGTTTGAGATGGACATATGAATTAGTTTAAAATAATTTTTTTTTCTACTTTAGAGGCTTGAAATATTAATAATTGTATTGGTTACAATCTCATAGACACAAACATAAAAGCTACAAACACATGGACACAAACAAAAAAGATACAACTACATGAACACACTCTAGTAGATACAAAGTAGGTACACATTCATATAGAGAAAGTCTCAGCGATGAAAATAGTAGGGACAAAAATATGAAGATAATCGATGGACAATAAACAGATAATTGATAACATGGATAGAGTTTGATGGACACTTATGTATGGATGAGTTTGATGGACAAAATCGATGGACAAGAAACGATGGACATGAGAGAATGGACGAAAGACAATGGAGATAAGATGACTTCTACCAAGACAATCGACATATAGCTCTTCTTCTTCCATGCATTGGATGTAAGATGATTTCTACAAAGTTTAATGGACATATCCACATTGACATACAGTTCTATGGACATATCCAAAAAATAAATTGTATTCCAAGTTTATTTATCAAATTCTCAATCTACATGGACAACTTAATATGGTAAATTGATTCATGAACAAACAAATCTTCTAAAAGAAGTTTATCTACAAAATTATCTACTCACATAGACAATAGAAAATGGTCAATGAGTTCCTGGACAAAGAAAACTAACCATAACCTTCTATCCATATGTACATTGTCACATTCATCACAATTATAGATGATATCATCGTCATCTTCTTTGCTAGATCTGAATTAATTCTCAACTACCCATTATCCATTAACTCCGTCGTTTGACTCATTTCTGCCAGAATGCTCCAATCCGACGATTTTTACAACTGCCTCTGAACGGAAAATAGGTTTTGATTCGTTTCTATTTCCTTCCAACGGCAAATCCCATATTCAGATTGAAAAATGCTTCATACCTATAAGCTCTAGTTTTTAGTTATTCCAGCCAAATCAGATCTTCACTGTAGTCTACGAAATATTTCTTTACACATGTTTACTTTTAAATGTGTAATAAGCCAAATAGATTTTACTATATGTGGTTTTGAAACCCAAAAACCAAAATTGTATACAAACTAAATCGTACACCCTCCACAATGGTGGACAATTTCTTCGTCGGCATACGATATTTTTTTCTTTTCTTACCTATTCAATGTCGGAAGAACACACAGGCTATTGTAACTTAGAAATCAGTGTATAAGTTCACTTAAATTATTAAACTTACTCCAAAAACTGAAGATACAATGTTGAATTTCAACAATTTCAGTTCCAACGAAGAGGGTCTGACCTCAATCACTCTTCACAATGTATCACCGAAACTAAGTCACAAAATCTCAGTCTACTATTCACTATGTCAGCTACCCAGACAAACCAAGGAAAACACACAGGCCTGACAATATAATTCTTTCGCCGATCTGAGGCAAAACAATTTTGGGAAACAAACTCTATACTATTTTCTTGTCCATCATAACATGTCTACAACTCTCTGTCCATCATGCTCTAGTTATCAACATCATAACATGTCCACAACTCCATGTCCATCATAACATATCCATAAATTCGTGTCCACCCAAAACAGTCCAACATAATACATTGCTTTCTTTAACTATATTCAGATGTAGAAGTTTCTCTTCTCAATATGTTTGTTTCTTTTCATATATCCACCATCTCTTATCCACATGAACATGTCTATATGTTTGTCACATATGCATAACTTCCAATCTAGATAATGAATAATCAATTACCAATTTCTACAATTTCATTGTACACTTCAAATCCCCATTTCAGATCTGGATCGAATTGCACGCAACGCCACTACTATGTCTGAATGAGTGAAGTTTGGTTTTAGATTTTGTATCTACGTTTCAAATTGAGATTCGAGTGGAGTTTGGGTAAGAATATGGGAAGGTGAGGTGTGTGAATTTGTAGGAATCAAACACCATCTTTAGAACTTCGATATATGGTAACATACGACCATCCAACATCTCGTCCAATAACCACCACCACTTCTAAATTACTCTTACACATCTCCTCCATTAGAATTTCATTCCCTGTTTTCATATGTGTATTTCAATCCCGTCGGCGGCGATGTCAACCGTGTGAAAAATTAAGAAAACTTACCTTCTCATTTAAGGGCAAAACAGTCATCCATGAGTACAAAGAAAGTAAGAAAGCGTCTCACATGCAAAATATGTGTTAAATGTAATCAAAATATAAAAAAATGTGTCTGACCGTAACCAACTCTAACTTAAAAGTGCCTCTTATTTTGAGAAGTGTGTAAAATATAATCACAAGTGCTAAAAGTGTCTATGAGTGTAAACAATTCCTTTTTCTTGCCAAAAACGATTAAGTTCAGCATTTAAATGATCGTTTTCTCCAAGTTGAAAAGAAGAAAAGAGTTATTTACGCTCAAAGACACTTTATGAGTTATTAATTACAAAAGAGCTTTCTCATATTTTCTTCCTATGTATTTCACCTGGATGCCCGAAATTACTCTTCTCGTCGGACACAACTCAATTGACTCAGTCTGATGGACACAGCTCGAGGAACACAAAATGTTACAAAGTTAATTATTGGTACACATCATCATTATCTATAGTAAATTATATTTTGTATATTAAAATTAACTAATTCATTTTTATTGTTATAAGAAAATTTTCTAAATTTTAATTAATTTTATTTCTATTGTTATTAGGAAAGATTCAAAATTTTAAGTTAGTTTTTAATAAGAAAGAGTTTATAAAGTAGATCTTAGTTTTTTATTAATAAGAAAAAGTAACTTAACATATAAATATCTTTAACAAACAAAAAAATTAACATATAAATAGATTATTAAAAATATCATATATAAACAAAATAAATAAAAACCCTATTTAAGACTATAATTAAACTATTTCAAAATTTTAATCATGACAAGCAATTAAAATCTGAATTGATAACCTAAAATACATTAGTTGTGTT